GGTGATTCGCCAGTAACGAGCAACATTAATCGTATATTTTGTTTACTGGTCCAAGCTGGAGGTGCTCGGATCCATTTTTGTAGTGCATTCGTGGATAGGAATACCTACCCTTAGACAGAAATAAATTGGCGGCTCCCAACGCTATAACTACTGAGGGGATCGTCTGCAATTCATAATTTTACGTGCAGCAAATCTACAGAAAAAGAAAATGCTCTTGAGTCGTATAACTGTAATTACATGTAGACGGGGTTAAGTCCATGGTGGAAAAAAAAAGTTGACGCTGCTTCTACAAAGTGTCGATAACCTGTGTAAAGGTGTACATAACTGAATCTACTTTCACGTCGTGAAAATTAGAAGTTTGTTCATCGTGCTTCATGAAGTTGGTGCCCTACATTTTGTGGGAAAATCAATTCTAGGACCGTTCCAACGATCCATTTCGCTAAGAATATTTGACCCGCAAAACAATGTGGTTGGTCAAAAAGGTGGCTCATCTTTAACTGAATGCAGTCATAAGTAGAATATTTCTATTTAATGTATTCAATAGAGGATTTCAGCAGATCTGTATCAGTTTAAAATGTGCAATCATCTGTAAATACAATCGACAAATGGACTTCTCTAACTTTAGCCAAACCGTCCGTGTTCTTCATGATCTTACCGGGTGGTTGCTTCATATTAGCTGCTCTAGGGGTAAAATTTAGATGCCTCCTCATCTCCAGTCAATACACGCATCAGCAAGATGGTCTTTCGCTTCACCAACGAGAATGACAAGGAGCTCATGAGGGAAGCAATTGCACAAAAGCCGTTTGCTGCAAAGTACGGAGACTCTGCTAGAGTTTGGGCCACCGTAGCTGAGCGTATGTCAGCTGCTATCCAAATCGTCGTCCTGGAGAAGCAGGTCCGAGACCGAGTACGCTTACTGAAGAAGATCTGGCGTGCCGGGGAGCTGCGCTCAGCCTTAGGAAGCGGCATCGAGGAGACATTAGAGGCTGTAAGCGAGCAGAGCCATTACGACACGTTAGCCGGTTTAGTGGGACAATATTTGCTCCCAGAAGAGGCGTTCATCGACGATAAAAAGAAGCGCATCAGCAACAAGAAAGCGGATGAAGCAAGTGTAAATCGGTGCGCTATTGAGCTCGTAGACGAGGCCGTTCTTCGTCGAGCCCTTCGGCTAAATGAATCCGTGTTAGATGATGGCTCGTCGGACAGTGAAGCCAGCGTAACTTCGTCGTCTACTAGTTCCACCCCAGCGAAAAATCAACGGGTTGCCACTGCTTCTAAGCGAACTCCAACGAAAACCCAACGTAAGCGCAAGAGTGTCTTTCATATGGAAGCAGAGAGGCAAGATAAGCGTATGCGTGACGACATGGAGCTTCGCCGGCAGCACTTTGACCAGAAAATGCAGCCACAACTCCAACTCCATCAAGATGGCATCGGTTTAGAAAGGGAAATGCACGAAAGCTCAATGCAAATGGAAATTGCCCGAACGGAAGCTCAAGAAACAGGAGAAGCGAATCGGCTACGAGCTCAACAGGAGTCAGAGGAGTGCAACAGGCAGCTCATACTTGAATGCGTGAGAGTGTTCAGTGAGGCTTTTCAGAAGACTCGTTCCGAATAATTACGTACACACTTACACTT